TGGATGCTACGCTGCTGACGTTCTTCCTGTAACTTGCAACACGCTCTTGCTGCTACGATGCTGACATTCTTCATGTACCTTGCAACACGCTCTGGATGCTACGCTGCTGACGTTCGTCATGTAACTTGCAACACGCTCTTGCTGCGTCTAGGCGCGTTCTGAAGCGATGCGTCTAGGCGCGTTCTGAAGCGATGCGTCCAGGCGCGTTCTGAAGCGAGGCCCTTTCCGCTGGCTCCCGTTGCCTGGCCAAGTGGCATCATCCGCTCTGCGCGTGACCCGTTGCCTGACGGTCTCCAGGGTACCGCAGTCGCCGAAGGACCTGCCAGCCAGGCAGAAAGACATGGTCGAACTTCATGGTGTATTTTTAGGATCATAATGTGGGTATAACAATCATAATCCATCCCTCTAATCACCATAAATAGGTGGTATAAACCATCAAAAATTGGTGGTTTATTATTGTTATACCCACATTAAAGGTTTTTTGCCTACTCATGTGTACCTCTACATTGATTTGCAAACTTTGCAAACACAAAAAATAACTTATATACATATTACAATCAAAAAAATGCATGTATACTGATATGTTGTGCAAAGATTGAAAAAGGTATATACTATAGTTACTATGATTCTGGACCCAGCATCTCCGCAAACTGCCGTGTTCCTCCATTTCAGTCTATTCGGGGGAAATGGGCAAGTGCGTCCCGCAAGGGTTGGGGCTGGTTTCCGCACTGATCGAGGAACATTCGAATTGTGTCCTGAAGCAAATGAGGTCACCTTGAATGTGTGGACAGCTGCCCTGTAATCAAGGAAGGTGTTGCTTTGTCATGCTTTCTCTGTCGAGCCAACCATGCAAACCTTACAGTACTTTGCAATCTTTGGATATTCTTCAATTTGGACTTGATTTTCAACATGGATGCCCTGGGAATCCCTAGGATGTGTGCGAAAGTTATCCTTCGAAATGCCAAGATTAGATCATTCTGCCTGCGCAGCCCCTTGAGAACATGGCCACAAGCATAGATCGCGAACACTGGCGGCCTTGGGGCGGCTCCACATACCAAGCTGATCCAAGCTGCATACGGTAACTGTTTACAAACATATTTGAGGCACGGGCGTGTTCACCAGTGATGCGACGGGTGAAGTGTCAGCTGATGCTTTCCAATGCCTCAATTTATGCGCTTGACACATATGCAGCAACAGTTCATGATGCTGATGAAAATAGATTAAAAGCACTGTACTTACATGTATTTACAAAGGTGCACTGTACCATCATAATCATTATAGTCATCCACCACGGTGCAAAATCATTGGAGTCTGTGGCAAAGCCATGTCCAGAAGGTCGCGGCGAACCTGAGCTGGAGAATGCTGGAGATCAAGGGAGTTGAGGCGGTTGATCATTCCTTCCCTAACAGTTGACACCACAGCCACCAACTGATCCGAGCTTCGATGACAAGGCAGACGCCTGCTGGCCCCAAATTCTTCCCCGAAGAGCAGTACAGCGCAGCATATCCTTGGGAGGATTTCACCAGGAATCCCAAGGATCACATCGGATGGCAAAGACCGTGAAGTCCAACGGTATCGCAAACGAACCACCATGAAGATCCATTGAAGATCCATGAGTCATCATGGACTTATCGCCTTCCAAAGTTCGGAAGGCGCGAAAGCGGTGTCAGTTCTAGCTACCACCACAGCTGGTTCCGCTGGTAAGTGGCTTGAGATGTTCACCGGTCTCGACAGCAAGGTCGAGGTAAAGTCTGCCACAAGGAGTCGATCACCGACATCTGGATCCTCCGCAAAATGATCAATGGTGAAGTGGTGAGTTCTGCTTGAGGTTTGCCATCGATCCCCAAAAAAACTGACTTGATTTTGCAACAAAGAAAATCATATTATAGATGGCTGACGTGTTTTACAGTGTCTTACCCTTTTTGAACTGTAAGAGGAACCATATTATATTATATTATGATATACTATGTCATATTCTGTACATCTTATAACATGCTATGATTCTATGATGAATCAACTTTCCGAGAACCAGCTTCAGCCATGCCGCCGGGCAAGCCACTACAGCCACTACCAGTCGAATCGAGATCACTCATTGGCCCCTATCCAAAAGCCAACGACACCATGGCCAGGTCCTCAAGGAATTCCACTCCACTAATCGTATCATTTGCACAAATATGTACCTTGATAGAGAGAAGTTCCACCCTTGGAACCTCCGAATTTGCCAGGTTCAAATCCGGGTTTCATATTGAGGGCACAAGTGTACAAGGCATCAATAAGGCAGCGGCAGTTCCCACTTTAAAAAACCAGCTGCTGGTTAACAATTTTGGGACCTAAGGTGAATCGCCCTAGAGAACCCTGTGATATTGCTTGCGGAATTTCGTGGTATTGACCTTACTAACTAAAGCGTCTTTTTGAGATGAATTTTGATCGACAAGCACTGATGAATCATGATGTTCAGAGCAAACAAATCCCAAGCACGGAGGTTCCATGTTGCATATTGCATTGCACAAAGGGCTTCCAGACAATAGAACACGCCAAACATGGACCCCCTCCCTCTTCCCAGGCAAGCAGCATAGGCAGATTTGTCCTCAGCTGAAGGGAGCTGCCCGAATCTGGGTACATAATGGTACATATCGGTCCAGGCTAAGTATCTGTCCCTCCTACAAGTATTGAATCCTTAAAGCATCGCCCACAGGCTTTACACCTTGCTTAAGTACTCCTAGCTCCAACCTAGAGATGCGTGCGCAATCTCCCCTTGAATCGGAACTCTTCAAACCTCTTTTCTCTTGTTTTTCTCTATCCCACCAGGACCAGCGCATGGCCCAAGGACTTGTGCGGATCGAAAACCCAACAGGCACTCAACACTACATCGCCCGGACCCCTGGCAGAGTTGCTGCAGTTCAGCCAAGAATCAAACAAATCCCATTCTGACACCGGTGGGACTTCCGTTTTCCCCTGCCTCTCCCGCACTTCTGCACAAATTCGCGTGGTGCAAAATTTTCCGGCTTCATTCCTTGGGAGCTTCAGTGGTTGGGTTCACCGAGCCCTGCCGTCGACATGTTCTAACAAGCCCACGAGCTATGCAGTATTTCAATGTATGTCAATGTATGTCAATGTATTTCAATGTATATATTTCAATGTTTCTGTCCCATCACATGGCATCACTCTGTCCCATTCTCTTCATCTGGCTGGAATGAGCCGGGTTTTGACTGTGGACAGGCCATTGAATGATCAATTCCAATTTGATGTTGATTACGTTTGCCTGTAGAAGTGCACATCCGCAGAATCCCACACACACATACACGGATTTATTTATATATATATACACACTTATGTATATGTATATATGCATCATTAAAGAATGATCATATCCTATCATATAACTACTATATGTAATACTATGAATTATCATCATATAATTATCCATGATCTATACATTGATACATGTCGTGCAGGATTTGAATGGCTCCATTCCGATTTCCGAGTTGCATCGCCCTCTTGGACCACACCCCCGTATCAACATAATCGGCCTCAGCAAAGCTGCGACGGTGACATGAGCTGATGGCGGTACATGGCACAGGACGCTACCCTGCCTGTGTCTTGTCACCAAGAAGGTTTAAGGGCACAGCCGCAAACTGTCCGTGGGCACCACCCTGCGCAGATATGCGATCAGCTGTCACCAGGCAAAGACTGCACTCAGCTTTTCAGGCCGCCTGTTGCCAAATCACCGCGTAGTTCGCCGGAACCCGTAGCAAGTGCCGAACACAGTCGGTCGCCTGCAAAAGACCAACTGAGAGTTAGTACTCAATCCAGTAGATGATTGTGTGGACCAAGGTATCCATGGTGCGAGAGGTTCAAAGTTGAGCACTGAAACATGGCGAAACTCCGCTCATGCCAAAATATGGCTATGGGTCAAAACTTTTAAACTTAGGTAGCCTGATAAAATAAACATCAAATGGCATCACAATAACAGGCAAATGCAGCGTTCTTTCCATCAACTATGGCCTATTAGGGTCTGATAAATGTTACAATGTGGGTAGAGCAATGTCATAAACCATCCCCCATTCATCACCATAAAAAAATGGGTGGTATACACAATTCCCAGTCATGGGTGGTTTATGGCATTGTTATACCCACATTATTCAATTACCGCAGGGTACATCAACCATATCCATAGATTACATATCCATATATTAATCATATATTAACCATAGATTAACCATATATTAACCATCAATTGGAATAAATTCCAATGGTCTTGTGGCTTGTGACCCATCCCACCTGCCTCCTGCAAGACTTGCTGAACCGGTCCACCTGCGTCTCGGTGCCCCATTTCCAATATGCTCATGCCCAAGCCTGGCGCGTTTTGGAATCAGGATTCAAAGATACCCTCTGGTAATCAAACATGGCAATGGAAAATCCTCTATAAATGGAGGTTTTAATAGGAAAATGACTGAAAAGTGGTTCCTTTTCCATTGCCATGTTTGATTACCAGAGGGGTCACTAAGCTTTCGAAAAAGCTGTTTGAAGATGGGACAGCTTCCCAATCTCAAAGAATTTGGACCTGCTTGATGCGAACACCCTTCAAAATTGAAGGACTCCATCTGCCAAGCAGCCCTCATAGTCACCAAGCTCCTCCACGATTTTGTCCAGAACCTCTGCAGTTCTTGCACTGAGGCTGCATCTTCACCGGCGACTTACATATGTTTCAATGTCTCAATGATTGCTCGGGTGGCCTGCTGGATGGTATAAAACTAAACATGTGTTCATAAAACCTCTGTGCAAGCAACCCTAGCATATAACCAAGTTTTCCTTAGCCCTGTCATTCCGTCAAACTATGAGTCCATCAAACGGCCCCTAACCTCATCTGCTATACTTATTGGAGCCACACGAGGTATCCACAAAAAAAACACATCAAATAGCTGATGGTAATGGATGTCATGAATGTTGATCCACCCGAATATGGTAACCCGAATATGGTAATATGAGTAATATCTCACGACCATGAACATCCATTGGTACGCTGTTTTCATATGTTTTCTATTGTATGTTAAACATCCATATTATCCATATTCATTCTATGTCTTATGGCTCCTTGGGTCGCCGGACAAGGTCCGGTAGCATCGCGGGGCCAGCGCTGAAGTTGAAGCAGCGAGATTTCGCCTCCTACAGCGAAATGACGCAGCACCACGAAGATCCAACGCTTCGGCACAAAATCCCTGAGAATCAGGGAGGAATCACGGATGTGTCTTTGTAACACTTGGAATATCTAGTTTCGCTCAAGCTGAGTTTCACTTCAAGGATTGAGAACTGCTGATGCTGTATTGTTCACCTTTTGTCACAGACTTCCAGAGGGTCCTCCATGGGAGCCATTGTCTGAAGTTGAAGTGCTCAAATCCAGGAACAAATGGAGCGATGGAAGACAACTGCACCAGTGCCACTGAGTAGCAACACTCACGACTTGTCACGGTTTTAGCTGCGGGTCAATCTATCCTACAATTTGCCAACATGCATTAAACATGTCTTGGAAAACTTCAAAATTTGAGCTTATTTGAGCTTTAATAAAAAAAGGAAAGTCGGTCATCGGTCAATCCATTATTGTTCACAAAAGCAACAACCCGAACAAACCTGTAGGAGCAGCAGGACCAGAGCGCTGCATGCGTGGGCATTGTCGCAACTCCAAGCTCTGACATAAACAAGAAGAATGCATATGGAATCACTACAGAGGAATACACAATCATGTGACGTGATTAGATGTGATTAGCGTGTCTCAAACAGCGGTGACAAAAGAGATCAAAAGATACATACTCGCTACTGTAAGCAGCGGATATGGAGTGGGGAAATCACAGCAACTCACCTCTCCCAAAAAGTTTTCCTATCAACTTCCGCCTTGTGCCGTGGTACATGTACAGTAAATCAATTTTGCAGGTCCAAAAAAAGTCATCGCAAGTCCCTGGTGACCCTGATGCCTCGGACTTTCCGGAAGATGTCCAACTCAATCCTGGATAAATCTGGCAACCCAATCTGCCGCGCCGTCAGATGGTGAATCTGAGAGTCAATCTAAGCCAAATGCTGCGACGGGCTATGCGTTACCAATGGACCATTAAATGGAAGGCGAGGGGAGCCACATATTCTCATGAACAGTGTATATTTATATAACTATGCGAGTGTTATAATATATATATACACGTATATCCGTATATGTTGTCATTATGATGATGATCAATATTATCATGTTCATTCGTCTTATTCGTATTATTATTTTTTTCTTCTAATCACTTCAATGATTACTATTCTGTATATGTATATATATAATATAATATAATATATATATATTGTGTATATATATATTGTGTGTGTATAGCGTGCATGTGTGCACGTTATATACTTATATCCGCCGACCCCTGCCGCCAGCAGGGGGAGTGCGCCGGAGAAGCCTTGTCTTGATCCAAGGGCCAAAGAAACAGACAGACAGACAAGAAACAGATACAGATAAGAAACAGACAAGAAACAGACAAGAAACAGACAGATAGACAGAAGACAGATAGACAGAGAGACAGATAGACAGACCGACAGACAGACAGTCAGATAGACAGACACTCAGACAAACAGATAGGCAGACAGACAGATAGACAGACACAGAGATAGACAGATAGATAGATAGATAGAAAGATAGATAGATAGATAGATAGACAGATAGACAGACCGACAGACAGACAGTCAGACAGACATACAGACAGACAGATAGGCAGACAGACAGATAGACAGACAGAGAGATAGACAGAGAGAGAGATAGATAGATAGATAGATAGATCGATAGATAGATAGATAGATAGATGGATGGATGGATGGATGGATAGATAGATAAATAGATAGATAGATAGATCGATCGATCGATAGATAGATAGATAGATGGATGGATGGATGGATGGATAGATAGATAGATAGATCGATCGATCGATCGATCGATAGATAGATAGATAGATAGATAACAAGAAACAGACAGACAGACAGACAGAAGACAGATAGACAGAGAGACAGACAGACAGACCGACAGACAGATAGTCAGACAGACAGACACACAGATAGACAGATAGGCATACAAACAGATAGACACACAGAGAGATAGACAGATAGACAGACAGACAGACAGACAGATAGATAGATAGATAGACAGATAGACAGATAGACAGACAGACAGACAGACACAGACACAGACAGAGAGAGAGACAGACACACAGACAGACAGACAGACAGATAGATAGACAGACAGAGAGACAGACAGACAGACAGACAGACAGACAGACAGACAGACAGATAGACAGACAGATAGACAGACAGAGAGACAGACAGACAGACAGATAGACAGAAAGACAGATAGACAGATAGACAGATAGGCAGGTAGGTAGGTAGGTAGGTTATAGGCAGATAGGCAGACAGGCAGACAGGCAGAGAGGCACATAGGCAGAGAGGCAGACATGCAGACATGCAGATAGAGAGATAGAGAGATAGACAGATAGAGACAGACAGAGACAGACAGGCAGAGAGAGAGACAGGCAGAGAGACAGAGAGACAGACAGCCGTCTCGGAATTAGGTGGTGTTTTGGCGTAAAAAGGGCGCGCGTCCCGAAGCCACGGTGGAGCTATAGGAGGGCAGCTGAAA